ACATATATTTTCTCTCCTTCAAATGCTGGAATTACTGCCTCAAAAACCTCATCAATCAATTACAAATCACGGTGTCTCTTCCCTGAGTCTAAACATCTAGTTTTATGCTTGATGCCTTTCCACAGACAAGATTTGTGACCAGATCAGTGATGCTGTCCTGGACGCTCACCTGAAGCAGGACCCAGATGCCAAAGTGGCCTGTGGTGAGTAAACTACAATTCAGATCGAGTTATTCTTGTTTGATTTTTTTAAACATGGAGACAGAGAAAGAGAGAGTTTTTTTTACCATCTGCAAGTGAGACAAAGGGCAACATTTGGTCAAGCGATCAAAGTCAAAAGTAGACTGTTCTATTATCACAAAGGTGTTTAAAAGCATGTGTAATGTGTTGATTGTATTGACAGAGACCGTGTGTAAGACTGGCATGGTGTTGCTCTGCGGAGAGATCACATCTCGGGCCAACGTGGACTACCAGAAGGTGGTGAGGGAAGCCATCAAACACATCGGCTACGACAACTCTGACAAAGGTGAGAAAATAACTTGGAAATCAAAGAGTTACCATATTATAATGCGGAAATTCATAAATGGAGATAAACAAACACCAAAAGTCACTGCAACCTCAGCCTCTCCTGAAAATATCTAAATACAAATATGCTTCTCACAAAACAGACATCTGAGTTTTGGTGCAGCATTTCAATTATCATAATTTTCTCAAAAAGTTAAGACTAACTAACAAAAGAATGTCCCTGATTCTAGTCCGATCACAACAGAACATTGACGTGATGTAACTGTACGGACTCTGTACTATGGCGGCTGGCTGACATGTTTTTTCAAGAAAAGAATAACGAGTCAAAGAAAAAAATGAGTTAATGTGTCTGTGAGAATTGAAAATAAATACTTCCTCTATAATTAAAGGATGTTCCTATGGAGGGAGACTAGAGGAACCTAGAGCCTCCAGTAAAGGGTGAAGCACTACGCTTCTCATCGCTGTCAGTTGATCTTTGGTTTAATCTAATGCTATCATGAAATTAATTAGAAACAGCTAGTTTAGCATTTTGCAGCCCTGATTCATGGTTATAACACATAAACTAAGTGTTTCTAGGTAGGAAGTCGCAGCATGTAACAAATAGTTTGTACAGTGATACCTTGAAACTGAGGGGAATGTTTGTAACATAAGAAAGATTTAATTTTAACATTGTAATATGGTAATTACCAATTTTGACTTTCAAGAATTTGAATGTGATGTTAAAGGTTTTACCTAAAACATCAATCTATATTACCTCATTAATATCAGGTTATTACTCCATTAATGTCACCAAAATGTAATTTTTTGATCCAAATATTTCACTGAAATAACCAATTTATTGTTGGCAGGTTACCATACTGTTACCAAAATATTACTAGACTAGTACTAAATAGTTTTGCCTTGTATCTTTAAATGTGTTTCCCCATTATTACACTTTGTTTTGACCCTTATTACTTTGTTACGTACATTTCTGTCTAATATTACCTTGATATACCCATTGTTAATACCAAGCTTTTATCTGGTTATTGCTTTGCTAATTACATGGTATAACCTTAATTACCAAATGTTTACTTCACTATTACCATGTTATTACCGAGCTGTAATGTGAATTGCAACAAAAAACAGAAGTAATATGCACTCTGCTCTGTCCTTCACTTTCCTTCTGTAGGTTTTGACTATAAGACGTGTAACGTGCTGGTGGCTCTGGAGCAGCAGAGTCCGGACATTGCTCAGGGGGTCCATGTTGACAGACAGGAGGAGGACATTGGAGCCGGAGACCAGGTACGACTGTTGCAACAGGACTATGTGTCATTTGGCTCATGTCGACTGAAGGGCTGGGTGATGGTGACATAAGTCTAGTATCATCGTTTGTTTGACTCGGTACTACAGTGTGAAAGAATTGAGACAATTCCGCAGAGGTGGAAGAAGTCCTCAGATCCTTTACTTAGGTAAATACTCCATTACAAATATAAGTCCTGCAAACGTAAATGTACGCATTCTGCAGAAAGATGTCTCCTGTGACTGACACATTAATACTGGTGCATGATAAATGAGGGTTGAAAAGAAGGAAAGACGAAGTTCCACTACACAAATTTAAATTAGTTTTTTGGACTAGAGTAACTATAACTACTGAAACGTACAATATGAGAGAAGCAGAATTGTACTTACTGAGGCCTTCAGTACTTCAGTAAATGTATTTAGTTACATGTCACCACTGAAATTTAAGTTAAGTCTAAATCAATCTGTAACATCATGGAAATTTCAACAATTTAATTAAATTTTGCGATATCTATAATACCACATTTAAGAATGTAAAATAAAGCTTGCTGAGTCAGGATCTTTGTATAAATCTCTTCTCAAAATATAGCTTTATCTGATAGCATCTTATTTTACTTAATTTATCAATTTCTTTTAGTTTTCTTTGAACGTTTTTTACCAACTTTTCTGTTTTAAGAAGTGCTCTTTTCGTTCATCATATGTTATATCATTTTATATCAATATAACTAGCTCTAGCTGACTCCTCGCAGGCTGCAGTGTCGTGCAATGCAATACATATCAATATATTGTCTATCCTTTTCTTTTTACAGATTCAGCCAACATGAATATCTGTTGCTGCTGCTGATCTGTGTCATTGAATAGTTTACATCTTTCTCTTCTGTCTCTGCAGGGTCTGATGTTCGGCTACGCCACAGATGAGACAGAGGAGTGCATGCCTCTCACCATCGTCTTAGCCCACAGACTGAACTCAAAGATGGCTGAACTCAGACGTAGTGGAACCATCTCCTGGCTGCGTCCGGACTCTAAAACACAGGTGTGTTGTCGTCTTACAATGCATGCAAGATTTTTCTTTTTTCCTCTCAAAACACAAACAACACCACAGCAGTCTTTCTGTGAATTAGTTTATTTTTTCTACTCTGGATGTCTTCCAAGACATTTATTTTGGTGCCAGCAGACCAAAAAGTATTTGTGTGTAGAAAGAATAGGCCTTTGACTGATTTCGAGGCAGTGAGCCGCTGACTGCAGCTCTGTGACATTAAGTGTCTAATGCCTTTGTGTCCCAGGTCAAATATAGGTTGTTAGAACATCAGGCAAGAGTATTCAAACACAGAGCTTTAGATTTTCACAGATTGGACTGATCACACATTTTCACTACAACAAAGAAGTATTGTGTCTATGTAGTTACCCGTCTATTGCAAATACAGCCACTTTTGTGGGGATGTTAGATGATATCAGTGGTTTCAAGAGAGGGTCTGCACAAGAAAACTGATACAATCACAGGAAACTTTAATCATCCTGTGGGGACATTTGGGTCACTAAAGCAGCAGCAAGAGGAAATTGGGTAAATGAGAAAGAACCATCGGTAATTATAACAAACTCCAACATGGTGTACTTTTTGATCTTTTTGAGTTCTTTGTGTCTCACAGGTGACGGTGCATTATGACCAGAAGGACGGAGCCGTGATCCCCAAGAGAGTTCACACCATCGTGATCTCTGTCCAGCATGATGACTTCGTCTCTCTGGAGGAGCAGAAGAGAGTCCTCAAGGAGCTGGTAGAGCCTCGTAAACACTCCCACTGAACTGCGACTAATGTATTGCTTAGGAAATGACGGTTTTAATATTGCATTGATTCTGTTAGGTGATCGAAGCCGTGGTTCCTGCTAAATATTTGGATGACAAGACCATCTACCACCTCCAGCCCAGCGGTCGCTTCGTCATTGGAGGACCTCAGGTGAGCGTCACACACACACAAGATGTTTATTTCAGATAGAAAACAAAAAAATACAAAGTTGCCACTGATTTTTGCTCATCTTCTCTTCTTCTCTGCCCAACAGGGTGATGCTGGTGTGACAGGCAGGAAGATCATTGTAGACACATACGGAGGGTGGGGCGCTCACGGTGGCGGAGCTTTCTCTGGCAAAGACTTCTCAAAGGTGGACCGCTCCGCTGCCTACGCTGCTCGCTGGGTGGCCAAGTCTCTAGTCAAAGCCAAACTGTGCAGGAGAGTTCTGGTTCAGGTGAGCGTACAATGTCATTCATTCATTCATCCAAACATGCGTGAGGGCTTAGGCTACGCGTAGATGACTCGGGTGTGAGGCATCAACGTGCTGATGAAATCATTTATCTACCTGTCTCTGTGTGTGTTACAGGTGGCTTATGCTATCGGAGTGGCCCAACCTCTGTCCATCTCCTTGTTCACCTACGGTTCATCCCATAAATCAGAATCAGAGCTTCTCCAGATTGTCAACAAGAACTTTGATCTGCGGCCAGGAGTCATCGTCAGGTAAACATGACAACATGACCTCTGTATCCTTGTTATGCAAGATCGTTTTTACGCTGCTTATTGTTACTACTAGGGGGCACCAACGTTGGACATTTTCAAATTGTACACATAGTGGCTTTTGTCTACATTTACATTTTGCTCAACATTTTTGCAGTGAAGGCTATATGCAGTAACGGATGGAGCGATTAGATAAACATTCAGTTGTCAACCCTGTTTCTATGACATACTATACTGTGACTTTTTTTTGCTTTTAATATTAAAACGTTATTCTTTGAATTTTCACGACATATTCTACTTTGCGAGTGTCCTCCTCCCTTGTGCTGTGCGTCATGATTTACTAGCCTTTTTTTAGATGCACATAAAAGTTTCAAGTATTCTTAACCTTTAAGGACACGGCGTGGAGTCTCGATGGTCAATGTCACACCTGCTCCAGGCAGCCAATCAAATCAAGCGGGCAGGCTTTACTACTTTTGTTCAAACAAATCTTTATTCAACTTAAGTTATGGCCACGCTTCTTTCTGCCTCTTGCTCTTGCTGCATGTCCAACACGTTGTCACTCCCCTTAGCGTTGCAGTGGTAAACTCACGCAGGACAACTATGACTTGTCAACAACAACTACCCACGGACCCAAGTCAACCACGATGCACAGTGTCGACTGTGGTTTTAATAGTTAACTATTCTGGGAAACCCCTATGACATGCTATACTATGACTTTCATGACTTTATTTAATGACATACTATAGTATACTATGACTTTTCACTTGCGTTTTTATGACATGCTGTGTAACTTTAAAGATAAGCCAAACAAAGATTCCAGTGAGGATAAATATGCTCATACTAAAATTTTGTGGTTCTAAACATGTTTTTTTGAGATTGTTGATATATTTGTCAAATGGACTGAAGCCTTTGTGATGGTTAAAATGTTGTTGTTGTTGTTGTTTTTTTTGTGTAAGGAGTTTCACATCTTCTTCCACATAGACACATCCCATGTTACTGATTTGAACATCATCCCACACATCGAAGATGATGCTTTAAATAAGAAGAGGTTGTTGTGACCAAAAGTTAACTAAATGTTGAATTGTATGCGTTAAAGAAACGCAATTGAACAATATAGTAAAAATAATCACATTTAAGGGTTTAAATTTTCCCCAGTTGTATATTTTTCTCTACGCTGTTCAACAATAAATGCCTGCAAACGGTTTTGTTGGAGATGTGAAAACAACCAGAACTGCATTCATAAAATTACAACAACACATACACAAACAACGTGGGTATTATCCTGTGATGTGCTTACTGTCCCGTCTCACCTCTGATGTTGCATTTCTTCTGTATCCTCCCTAGGGAACTGAACCTGAAGAGGCCGATCTACCAGCAGACAGCCTCTTATGGCCACTTTGGTCGACCAGAGTTTACTTGGGAGATGCCCAAAAAGCTTGTCTACTAAATACTCCACCTGCTCGTCCTGATCGACTTATGTGGAGGCTGAACGGGATGTTTCTTCATGGACTACAACTGCCAGCTCCGTCAACTTATAACACATTTTTTTAATAGGAAGAAATAAAGCCAAAGCTTTAGGGATAAGTCGGCTTTAAAGAGGCGAGACAATAATGAAATGCACGAGTGGTTGTAGCCAACGGACGTATAGACGTATAGCCTAATGGGACACTCTCCCAACAAGAAGAGACACATTGCAGAGGACATCTCAGTAACCAGTCCACCCCCTTCCTCCTTAAACATCCAATTATTGGTGCTTCAGAAATATACGTACAATCATTAATCAGAGATCTTTCCTGCCAACATAAGGGAACACCACAGCGTCTACAATTCTCTTAAGATAAATACTTCCCACTAGAAGACGTGTTTTACCTCAAAGCTGTGAATATTCCTTTACGTGACCAGTAGCATGTACAGAAACAACCTCAGTGCTTAATTTACTATGGTTGACTATCAATGTCAATGTAATTGTTGCTCAACCAAAGGCTCAGCTTTAGAAGAAAGAAGAGATATCTTTGTCATGACCAGTGTTGGGCAAGTTACTCAGGAAGTGTAATAAGTTACTTTTTACCTAATACATTTTTTAAGGAGACGTCAGGTTACCAGAGGGCATCATAGCCTCTTTTCCCAACTTTGAGACCAGTGATGTGACTGGCTGAGACAGTATTTAATAATCACCACACCTGCTGATCGGTATTCAGCCTCACCCAGCTGTTTTGAACATTGCTGCACAGACATAAACCAAAATATAAGGTGCGCACTGAAACGCCCGCAGTCTGTGCGCCTACCACCCTGTGCTTGGCATTTATTGGCGTTATTTCAAATTTCAACCGAGGTTGCCAAATATTGGACTGAGGTTGCAATGCATGCTCTTGCACCAACTGAGGACCAGGCCTGTCTCTTCCTCTGCCTCATATTCACCTGGTGACGCAGTAACAAAGCGTGAAGTGGATTAATAACTGCAACATAATCACTGTTTTCCTACACTACTCCTTACTGGGGAAAGTAATATTACAGTACTGCCCGACGCTGATCATGACTGCAAAATTCCTTTTCTACGTTTCATTTTGTAAGGAAGCTGTTTGCACTGTGGTACAATCACGTTGTACAACAAGACAGGTCATTAAAACGTGGGGAGACTTATGATCTCTTCAGCATATGTTACAATCAATCAAGAGTAAAATAGCCATGCAGTCTTGTGTTGCCATCTCGTCTTATTTTCTGTCATCCTTTAAGTACTTTGTTTTAATATCAGCTCAACTGGTGGCTGATTTGTATCTTTATGTCTTTTTTTTTTAACCTGCAGGCCCGTTGCTGTGAGTCCGTAGATGTGGCTCATTTTAACAAATAACTTGAAGTGTCTTCTCTCTTTGCTCTCTGCAGTGGATTACCAAGCTGCATGCTGTTGAGACTAAAGCATTTAGAGCACCACTGATGTCTTAAAAGTGCTGCATTCTAACAATGCTACAAGTGTATGCTGATCTCTTTCTACATCTTTGAGATATTTAGCTAAATTCTTACTTAAATGTGAAGTGCTACGTTTGCTCTGCAGCTCTGTATTGCAGATCGAGATCTTTCCTCTCGGATTTAGAGGAAAAAAAGGAGTGTTTATTAAAATACTTTTCTGAACAGGGCATTTTATTTTAAGTCAGCTTTCATCATTACTTAATCACAAAGTATTCAATCAAATTCTCACCTTCTGAATTGGTTTAAGGGTGTGAACAGTATTCACCTTAAAGGTTCATGTCTGTGGAGGTTTAGGACTTTGTGGTGCGTGTAACAACCCGTGCTTTCATCTACTGCCACATCGTTGTTGTAAGAGGCTTTACTCTATTTAATGTGTTGATCTTCTGTCAACTCTGTTGGTGGAGAAACTGAACAATGTAAATAATTAAACAATAAACAAAATTAAAGACGTGAACTGTTGTCTGGCTCAATCCACAACATGCAAGATTAGAGTTATGTGGTGAAGACACAAATTGCATTACATGGAGCAAATGATTATTTTAACAGCTTTTATTGAACAGTTTCTTTTTATTGAACATCAAGGCATTTATATATATATATATACGCACATAATCATGACTTTTCATCAAAATAGAATTTACAACCCAAACCTCTTTGGTTTTCATTATCAAAATAATATATAAGGCACATAGTGAGCATTTCAACAGAGAAGTATTGAGTAACAGCTGCTAGTTTGTCAGAACGCCTTCACCAATCATTTACTGATTGCATGAGTGAGATTCTTGCAGATATTTAACCATGTTGGTGTGAGCAGCATAAGAATTCTGACAAGCTAACTATACAGGAATGTTTTTTTATTTTTAAGCTTTATAGAGTCTGGATGAACAAAAATAATCTATTATACCATGGCTAACCACCTATATTAAGCAAAAATATTAATGTAACAAAACAAATGCCATTGAAACAAAGACAACAGAAGGCAGACGCAAGCAAAGTTTTCCTTCTGCTTTGAATCAAACAATGCAGCTGGTGTCGTAACATTTTCCTGAGTGCAAAGGTCAGACAGATCAGTAAATGTGGGGGGAAAAAAGGAACAGAAAGTAGAGAAGTTGATATGAAATGATGAGGGACGCATAAAGGATATTGCAAAATGCGAATCAGACGATGAGAAAATGTTTCAAAAGACATTTTTGTAACGTTGAACTGGAAACGGGGGCATTATGCATCGCTTCCTTACAATGCAGAAACCATTCAGGGAGATCACAATCGCTTAGTAAATGTGTAATGACAAAATGTTTCTCGCTAGAGCAGCATGAGCAGCACCATCATTTAGCTTAACACTTCAAATGCATCAGATATTTATTGTGATTTGTTAGACGAATGCATTATTGTCAAAGCACTGTAAGGTCACAAGGCCAAGTTCCACTTAAAAAGGGATCCGAGGGAGCAAACTCTGAAGATCACAGCTGAACTAAATCCAGAAGGAGAGGCAGGAGGTCGAGTGGTCGTCAGGACTTTGCTCGACCTTTGGCCTAAACCTGGAGGTGACTGAATATTCGCCGTACAAAAAAGTTTCACTTTAGAAAAGCAGTCCTCCTGTGAGCTGGACAACAACGTTACAGCTCAAATGCAATAAGCAGTTTGACCAGTAGGGAGAAGCAGTGGATCAGAGCCGTGTCTGGTGCCGGTTCCACCGTCCAGCTCATTCCACAGAGCAGTGACTGCACCAGCTGTTCCACTTCAGTCTTCTGTAACACATTGTAAAACTCTGCCCCACATGTGGCCGGTTGCGGTGTGAGGGACTGATATCTTCACTGTATAAAAGCATACTAACGAGACTATTACTGTTGTAAACCCTCTGCTTGCTCCGTTTTCTTCCCCCCCCCCCCCCGGAGAGCTCAGAGTGTGTTAATGTTATACTGAGATGTTGAACATCTCCAAAAATATATAAACAGAGAAAGACTACACTGATAGACGTCAACATATTAAGTCAGTGTATCTATTAGCAGGGAGCATTTTTCAATGTGAACAACAAATATCCACTTTAGTATTCCTGGCACTCACAGGTGTGCATGCAACCTTCTGTCCCTGCTCCTCCACTCGTAGTACTACTAGTAGTAGAGTACTACGTCTCCATCGTATTGCTTTCATTCATTAATATCACAATCAAAGCTGAACTCAGGGACCGTGACACGGAAAGGCCTCATGACTTTTAGCACCGATGTCACAGGCGAACTGATATTTGGTGTGAATCCTGCTGTACAGCAACGCGTCGGCAGGACAGTGCAACTCAGTTACGTCTTACATAACAAATGCTTCCTTTTCCCTTTGTCCCGCTACATCAGTTAGACATGCTGAAAAAAAAAACCTCTTAACTATGGAGTGTTTCAAAGAAAGAGTACGAAGGCAAAGCAATGACAGCATGTTGTGCTCCTCCGTGTTGGGGAGTAATGAGATGCAGCCCTACGTCCGCAGGACCAGGAAACACGTGTGATGCCTCCTCACTAAACTCAACTCACTAAACTCAATAAACCACAGTGCTCTGGCTTGAATTAGCTGCTATGTATTTGGCCTCTGGACACTGTATCCTCTCTTTCATATTCTTTGGTAGAACTCTACAGAGAGGAAGTTGAATCATGTTGAGGTGTAAGGTTGATCTAGTGTATTTATCCTAACAGCAGGGGGGAAGACATGGTGTCATAAAGGTTACACTTACTAAGGCACCAGGTCTATGGTTTGTTCTGTATGCAGTTCAAATAATCACCAGAAGCAACACAAAAACCATGTGTGCTAGGTGTGAGTCATATGGATACTTAAAAGAGTTGCTGATCCAAAAAAAAGCTTGTTGATAGTGCTTATTCTTAAAAGCTGCATTAAGCAATTTTTGACCAAAAACCAAAGTGACATAAATTGTTATGGCTAACGTCTGTGCCTACTTGCACATCCAGCGGACAGAGAGCAACGTTATTATCCTCATGGCCACCTGAAAAATATAGTAAAAACAAATATGAGTCCACTATCACTTTCCTTTCAGCCTCAGTTAACCAGCTCCTGAGAAAGTGATATCCGTGTCTCCAGATGGCCAAATTGTCTTCTATCTTTATAATCCACTCTTAACTTTGGCTAGAAAGTAGCGTAAAGTCCGCTTTTGATAATTCTCAGGGGTTCAGTACTGTGAAGAATTCTTTGACTTGACTTGTTAATGTTAAAAATATTGCTTAATGCAGGTTTTGAATGATTGCAAAATGCAGAGCGCTGCCCTGTTCCATCTCCAGGATTGACTAAAACATTTATAAACTCTTCTATTGACACCTTTTCTTGATATTTGCATTCATACATTTTCTCTGTCTGTCTGTCTCTGCTTTTCTCTGTGTCAATACTGTCGGCGTGGTCGTCCAGCAGCCTTGACTTCTTTACGTACGTTGAAGGAGTCATGGCTGTCACCTCGAGGGGAAAAGCTCCAAGGCCACTTATTGAGACCAGTTACAGGATCTCCTGGGGGGGGGGGGGATCGTACATTTACTGGATCTGATTGACAAAGTACTCCTCTGCTGGTCACAGGACTTGGGAGTTGGGAGAAAATTTGGTTTCCCACGTGTGCAAAGTGCAAAATACAAACAAAGTTCTTTAGAGCCACTGAGCTCTGATGGGAGCGTAATACAAACCAAAGTCTCCACTGTGGCAGCAGGTCTACACCCCGAGGGTTGAAGTAGTAGAATCCACTCTGCCATGATTGACACTGGCCCGGTTCCTTTCAAAGCTTCAGACGAATGTGGCTGGAAATGAGAAACTCTTTCGACAACGACTAAAGAAGCCAAGACGAGCCAGCAGTCTAGAGTATGGACATGTTTTCGGGTTGGTGCGGATGTAAAATGGGCCCTCCCAGTGATCCCAGTGGGTCCACCTTGTGTTCTTTCCCAGCAGGTCCTAGGGTCCCTCTAGACAGCACCACCATGGTATCCGACGACATGCCGGCAAACTCAAAGGCAAATGTCCCATAGAACAGCATGATGATGACGCAGAACACCCATTCAAAGATGGCCGACGCGTGTTGAAGGACGAAGCTCTCCTGACAGAAGAACACACCGCCTGAAAACATGGTTAAGGAGAACAGCAAAGCAGGGTGTGCTCACCATGAAGCCGCTGTGTAGACAGCCTAATGCTAAGCTAAGCTAACTGGCAGTAGCTTCATATATCCCTTATATACAGCATTGACTGTAACATGTCCTCTATCGTGTCCACTGTAAATCTTTGAATGTATATCTGTAACATATGGCCCATAACATGAAAGACAGGATTTGACACTGAATACTGGAGGGAAACTTGTAGTTGTAATATAATGTGAAGGAGACGTCTCCGTCCGTATTCACGCTGGCAGCGCTACGCTCTATTCTGAAGCACTCGACAGCCTCGAAGGCTGCCATCTGTTAGTGGCTAGAGAGGATACTGAGGACCAAGGCTACGAAGGCCAACAGGGTCATGCAGAGTCGGAGGTGGGCCACGTTGTACTCCCCCTGGGTCTTGGCGAGTCGGTAAGTCAGTGCCGACTGCAGGCACACAAACAGCATGCTGGTGGGGAAGGCGATGCCTGCTCCGACATAGTGGAGAACTTTGGCATTATCCACCTGTCGTGTAGAGAAAGGAGACAGGGGGAGAGGGTGGGGGAGAAAAATGGGTGAGACAAAGAGAATACACAAAAGTCTGCAGTTTAGCTGAAAACACCACGTGGGAACGATCAACTGCGTCAAGCTGTCGACTCTGACTATTCATTGTTGTGTAACACTTTGTTCGAAGCCTCCAAAAACTTCTTTTAATAAAAGAGCCGAGAACAATACGTGGAAATGAGAGGATGATGGGAAGTAAACGACAGCAGCACCACAGAACGCCTCCTTATCCCTGCTGGGCACAAGAACGATAAGAAACAATACACAAAAGAGCTGCTCAGGAGCATGTGACTAGAGCTCCCACTGCAGGATCCACCCACACACACACACACACACACCAGAACAGATAAGAGACTCAATAGAGCATTAACCAAAGCTAGAAACACATCTCCAAGGACCAGTCTAATGTCGGTAGATGACACAGAACTGCTTTCCTTGGCTGATGCCGAATGGTTAAAGCCGTGTGTTCCTCTGTTCCATGTAACTCTTGGGGATCATTAGAGCAATAGCCTGGAAGTTATTCAGTTTGGGCTTTTAAGCCATTTGTCCGTTGAACCGGCTAGTACATACTGAACATTCTTGGGCAGTAGGCTAATCCTAGCCGTGACAGTGTAAGATTTCCAGACAATTCAATATGGAAAAGCACACACAGCCAGAAAAAAAAAAAAAGAAAAAAAAAAAAAAAAGGAGGATTTTCTTCGATCCGTCCGTGACATCTCCAGAGCTGGGAGTGAAGACGGGAGATGAGTCAGAGCACGGCCTTTACACGTTTTTCCATGTTTCTGATCAAAGAGTGTTCACAGTGGGAATTCTATTTTGTTCTGGTACCTTCCACAGTGAAGTGGCCGTTACAAAATCCTTTCTACTCCATCAAACTGGCACTGGGTCTGAGTGTTGTAGTACTGCCAATCTGTTTCTCACTATACCCAGTAATGGAAAAACACACAAACGCGCACAAACAACAACCATATGCTTTGTTCTCCTGGTACCTCCTCATTCTAACTGACGTTTTAAACCTCCAGCTTCTCCATCGTCCCATGTGAGAGGTAAGTAAATACCTCCGAGTGTTTTGAATGATGATGTTCGGATAAAACAAGCAATCTGAAGATGTCACAAGAAATTGTGAGGGGCATTTTTTTTTTAAAACCATTTTTTAGATATTTTATAGACTGAAGACCGGCAGATTAATCAGTAATAAAAATAATCAATATTCTCCACAGCGGTGTGTGCTGTGTGTGATGCCTGGTGTCCTAGATTCTCTCACTACCTGCAGTCATTACCTGGTGGCTTATTGATGTGTTCAGTAAGCCTTTGCTGCTCTACTTTAAGTACGTTTTCACACTTTGTACAGTTGTCGGTTGGAGACAAAGGTAAGGATAATGGAAGAAGTGATGGGCGGTGAAAGCAGTGAGGTGGACTGAAATGTGGCAGTAGTAGCAGAGAGAAACACAACGGAGAAACAGGAGAGCCATAAGGGGGAAGATCTCATTGTGGCTGCACTCGTTCATCGGAACAATACACATCTGCCTCCGTCACTGCTGAAATGTAATGCAGCTAAAAGTCACCATAGTGTGCTCCTTCAAGCTGTCATTTCCTTAACATGTGGTGCCACCACAGTTCTCATTCACCGTCACTCTGAGACATGACCTCATGAGGAGAGTAATGTGCGTCTGTGCTTCATTGATCAACCATCTAAAATTTGTTTAAAACTGTGTGCTGCATTGTGAATGATGGTGTATCATGATGATAAAGGAAGTTCAGTGGGCAGAGCGGTGATGGGTGCGAGGATGTGGTAACAAGCCAGCCGACAAGTTTTCTGTCAGCTTTCACTTTCTGGAAACTGAAACAAATGTCATTGCAAGACACGCTAAACGCTTCCAACCGTTTACAACACACCTGCTGCACCAAACTCCTTCCAAAATCTGTTTTTATAAAACATTAATAATCACCTAAGCCATCATCAGGCACATGTTACTCATGCTTTCAACTTTTATCCATGAATACTTAAAGGCCTTAAAATAGAAACATTACATGGGACTCAATTTGTCCAATCTTTTATATTATTTTAAAATATGCAATGTTATGCAAAGAAGGGAAAGAATTTCCACAAAATGGTTTTGGAGCTTTTGGTTTTTATCTGAAGAGCCTTGGCCTGTTGTCATGCAGAATAAATCAATTTAATAACCTTTTCATACTTTCATCTCTTCTATTATACAACAATTCATCTGCAGCCGTGTCACATACGCTAATCATACATTTAAAAAACACAACTACAGTTGTTTTTACACTTTGTACGGATTGAACAAACAAAGTCATCTCTGAAACAAAAGTTTTAGAGATGATGGGAGGAAGATTCGGACGGAGCCAGGCTGGCCTTTTGCCCCTGCTTTCAGTCGAATCTAAGCTAACTGTGGGCTGTGGCTTCATCTTTATCATGCATACCATTCATCCCCCACCCAACAGAAAAGTAAACAGAAAGAAAGAAGAAAGGTTAAGAGAGATAATGACAGAGAGAAAGCAGAAGGGAGAGAGCAAGCAAGGAAAACAGCAAAACTAAACAAAATCTGAAACTTATACACAGCTATTGGATTCAGAGTGATGCAATCGCCAGTGTGTTGCACATGGCCTCAGGAAAGGCCATGCTGACAGCGGGCATCATCTGTAAGGGAGCATGCAGGGTTAGCAAAGTCCGGCCAACTCTTACGGTCCTCTTTCTTTCTCTCCCCCTCCTCCTGAAGGCAGCTTGAGAGCTACCCATGTCCCTCTCCTAGACCTCAGTGGGGCAGTGATGTGCTTTTCCATCATCTATTTATGTGCTTCTTGGCCCAAACCATCAGACCACCTGACAGGAAAAGCGCCAGTGGCCACACCACAGCTGCGCTGCCAAAGCCTGACTTAACACACAGCTACAAACTGAAGCCAGTGTGTTGTGTTTCTGGTGCTTTCTCCCTCTTTGAGCCGTCGGGTGTTCAGCAGATTTTGGCTGCTGTTCTCTCCTCTGAATCCAAATTATTTGTGGATGTTGTGTTCCTTTGTTTTGGGGCTGTGCTTCATTTTGCCGGCATAATATTCCGTGGTGTGGTTTGAACTCTTTTAACAATGACGTCTCTATTTCCATCACCACTGGAATGTCCCAGACTATAAGAGATGCAACGTCGTCTACGTTCACTTCTGCGATTGGTTAAAGACGGGGGCCTCTGCTAGACACGCCCCGTCTGCCCCGTCCTCTCCATGCATGGCCAGACTTGATGACTCACTTCCCCCTGGCTCTTCCCATATAATTCCTCCCAGTGCTGCAGAACAGATGCCCCGAAAGAGAAGCGGGAAGAAGGTGAAGACGACACACAAAACTACCATGCACACCTTTTTCCACACACTCCTGTAAAGACAGTTCTTCTTCATCTTCCTCATCGCACACAGAAAACATTTAGCCAAGTGTGCTTCTCATTTGTACCACACCTATCAAATAGGTGTGGTATCAAATCCCTCCTCATCTCTCTCTCTCATCATTTCCTGTCGACTGTTTAACAATCTTTTAAAAGTTGAAGGACAGAACCAGAACGGTAACATTTCATAGACGTATCCAGCCTTTCACCACAAACAATCCCTCCTCCTCCAGAAACTCCCCGAAGACATTTCACACAAACACACACTGGGCATGTAGCCAGGGATCCAAATATTTAAAACTTGAAGAAATTATTTTTCCAAAGAACAAATATCTACAGGGAAGGACTTTAGATCAGGTTCGGTCACTTTAACTACCAGAAGGAGCAGGATTGTGTCTGTGAAGGCAGAGCAGACTGAGATATAAAGTGTGACAGAGAAAAACACTGAGACGTCTCAATGACATGGTTTAAATAATAACATTCTTGAACACAAGTTGGTGTCATTGTATGTCTTGTCTTGTAAGATCACAGAAGGCAACAAATCTGGAACCGGAGAACTTCTCTATCATTTACTGCAAAAGTTGTGGTTGAATAGTATCCGTTTGATGAAAGTAAACTGGATCAGCGTACCTGAAAGTTGCCCACCATGATGAGTCCGGCGGCACAGATCCAGCCTGTGGAGAGACTCGCCGTGTTGAGAACACAGTTCTGGTGCTTCTCAATGACGCGGGCGTAGCGGAGCAGCACAATCGCCGCAACTACAGCACAGGAGAGAGACATAAAGACACGGAGACAGAGAAGATGAGGATGTTATTAGGACTATTCAGCAGGAACACAGTGACAGTAGAATAACGCTTATTCTGGAAAAGTACCCGGCACACTGTTGGTATTGTATGTTATTATTTCACATGGCCTGGCTTCAATTTAACTCAAACACTCAAACACCTCACTTTGCCAAAAAACACACAAGACTTCCTTGGAAGGTGATTAAAAAAAAAAAATCCCACAACGTTGAATTTCTCTGCCTAACAAAGTGGGAACATGAGAAGCAGGAAATGGCGGGAAAGTGAGAACGCTAATTGGGTGGGTGGGGGGGTTGGTCTAAGTCTTGCATAAGAATTAAAAAGGGCCGAGGGAAACGAAGTACAGTGCATGGGACAGATGACTGCTGATGTGCTAATGGGCTGCGACTGGGAGTATTGTTGGTGCACCGCCGAGCTGACCCCCGCTTGGTTTCTCTTTGTTAGCTCCTCGCGGCTGGTGCTCGGCGAGGGCCGACTGGGCTCGGTGAAAGCGGAGCACAGGGGGCTGGTGGAAGAGAGGAGACTGAGAGAATTAGAGGGGACGAGGAGCCCCCCCGTGTCTCGACCCGAAGGCGATACATTCTCACAGACTAAACTGTTGTCTTAAATCTGTCACCCTCTGTGCAAGAGACGGGCTTTAGGACCGTCTGTGCTGCCAAAAGAGAATATAAATAGAGACCGTGGCCACGGAGAGGAAAGAAAAACGTCAGTGCCGAACTTAACAATGTCAGGCTTTGTCTCCACTAGTCAGGGTTTGGATACGCTGCGGCCCGTCTGGCTCCGAGCCAGCGTCTCAGTGAGGACACTGCTGTCACATGGTTAAATGTAAAATGTTGAGATGTGTTTTGAGTAGTTTCCTGTTTGTACAAAATGTTAAAGTTCACGACTTTCTTCTACTAACTGCCGAGAAGGGCAATTAATCAAGATTTTAAAAAATGACAACCCTAAATCTAATAGGGGCCATACAAACATACAGATGTACTATACACATGACATGTATTAGATATCATTATGTCATGTTGTAAAAATATCAATATCACTTCTGTTTTGATCCTTGTGAGTGAAAGCGCTCGTTTGTGTTTCTCTCCGTTCCCTCAGCACTAGAATCATGTTGGCAAAGAGATTTCAGTTACAATCATGGAAAAACAAACAGCCGTGTCTCCAGGCTCGGAGACAATCTTGTCTTTCGTTTTTTTCCCTCTATTCCTTTCTTTAAAATGGAGAACACACCGAAAGTCAACTCGTTTCATTAGATTATGGCATCTCGGGCTCCCTGCTGCAGACTGGCTGGCTGTGGGGTTTTCAATGAAATTACTCTGTCATCATTACAAAAGAGCACTGAGCCTGCTGGCATTCAGCATGCTACACTGACATGATGTATGCTTAAAGACATGGAGCAACATTTCCAACCATTGCTCTCTATGAGGAAATCCTTCATGGTTAGCTTTGATGTTGTGCACTCTAAAGGCACATGTGTGCTGCTTTCTGGCATATTTCTTTGAGGATGCATGTCATGCTGATGAATCATAAAGTTTACATGTGACGGCCGGAAGTTTAGCCCAGAGTCCTGGTTCAAACACACCAATGTGGCTCTTCCATGGAAGCTAGCTTGCAACAACGTGGACAAACTGTAACGGATGTACAGCCCTGCTGTCACAAGCACAGGCTTGCTTTTTGCCTTCACACATAGACGTGAGCGAACGGTGTCGAGTGCATTTTCCCACAAAAAAGTCCCATCAGCCACACCACACCTCGCAGTTAAATAAACCTTTCTGTCCCCACAAGGAGGTATGTTTCAACCCAAACACACCGGCTGCATTCTCTCCCACGGGAGGTATGCGGAGAAAGAATACAAGCTTTGTCTTTGAAACATTTTGTGTGTGTACACTGGCAGAGAGGTGGGAACTGGGATAGAAACGAGAAGTACCGTTATGAGGCAATATACAGTTCACTGAGTCCATGTTATCCCTGAGCCAACTGTAGCAGGCACAAAGTGAGACATAAATCAATAGGCTAAGAAGCTAAGCACTGGCTATTTACAATAGCCCGTTGTATAGCTACATGCCACGTCTGCTTAACTTTTGTAGAGCCATAACAACTAACAGGTATTAAACATGCGCCGTGTTCAGACTACTTGGATGGTGAAGAACAAATAGACACCGACAAGGATGCAACAAATGCACGATTAAAGAAGAAGATTGAAGCCCTCGAACCACCTGCAGTGGTGGTCAAAGATCTATTCAGCCGAACAGTTACAACAGATTTACACCTAAATCAAGTCACACATGAACCGTCCTCCTGGTTGAGCAATGGAGTCAACAGTGGAGACAAGTAATCTCCAATATTGCGTTGCTTTTGTTTAGCTGTAACCCCTGAGATGTCACAATGTTTGACAGCCACATTGTTCGGTTGCCACATAACTTCTCCTGAATTGATTTGTCTGCCGTTCAGCATGCTTCACTGTACAACCACAGTGCAGCACTTAGCCGACATCTCTCTCTCTCTTAGACAAACACTTAAATGTACGCGAGGTCGACGGTCTGACCTGCTGCGGTTCAGGGGTCATGGTTGGCTAACAGTGCTGCTCAGATACCAGACTTTCACACTGAGCTGCAACAGTCTGGTCCCTACCAGGATATACTAGCACAGTACACTAGTATAGTAGTCTGACTCCATATACACAAATATACACACAAACACACAGAAAGGCTGCTGCCCCATTCTTGCCACAGGACCACAGCTGTTATTTGTCAACAACACACAGGAAACAGCTTATTTAAAATCCACAAGGATCGTTGTCCCATCACGGACTTCTCCGTGCCTCCCTCTCAGATGTATCAAGCGACTGTCCTGAGTCAACCAATCAGACTGCAGGCCTTAAATAGCTGCTGGAGGCAAACAGACCTCTCCCCTGAAAACACACACACACACACACACACACACACACACACACACACACACACA